CAACCATCAAGAGAACTGATCACACATAAGTTGAGCGAACAGGGGAGTCTGATTTTTCACTCAGTTATAGCAGTGAGGCTAAATCTGTACCTCCAGCTCTTTGCAAATTACCTTTTATCTTTTGGATATCCGCAAAGCACGTTCTAATGTAAAGAGAAAAAGTTAAAGCTACTTTGCATCAACAATTCCTTGACAATTCTTTTGGCTATAAAACAGGATAAAGAGAGCCAGCTCTGGTGTTTTCCTGGCAGTGACTGGATGAGAACATGATGAGCAGAGGTTCAGGGGTGCTGGGGATTTGCTGGGAATCAGCAATCATCATTCCCAGCAAATGGGAATGCATTCATCATTTGCCAAGAAGCACAAGCAAACAAAATTGCATCCATAACTTACATAGGTTGAACCAGAAAATAATGTGATTGAGAGGAAGAGATCTAAAGGATTCTCCAACCTGTTTGGGAAAAAACATGTATCAGAGTMGAGTCTCTACTAATGCTTGCACCAAAGGAAAGACTACTCTGCAACTTGAGCTGCCACCTGGGAAAAGTCTTTCTGCAAGAAAGAGTTTGGTCAGAGCTCACGCCGTGCTCATCACGCCTTTCTCCATCCTTGGGCTGGGCTTCATTTCCATGATCCGGGACAGTTCCTTGGTGTCCACAGAGAAAGGAGCTCAGAGTGGAGCTTTGCTGGGGTTAAGGCATTCAGAACATCACTTTCCTTTATGGATTCTGCTGAAAAAGAGCTCAAATCATGCTGCATCATTACTTGAATTTAAAGGAGTCATCAATCAGAAAATACATTTTTTCAATTCTGGTACTCAAAAAGCTCMCTGGTTAGCAATCCAGCATTCCTGATCTTTAATTTTATTGCACAAACCTGTCATAAGTTTGAGGTCTACTTTTATTTTACCAAAGTATTTTTCTCCAATATCTTTAATTATTGTATGTATATACAATATTTTTTTTTTTTGTGATTGTCAGTATTCTGACCTTGCAAAAACCCAAGACTAAAATGTTGCCTCAACCATTTTTTATTTCTTTTTGTGGCTCTCTGGTCTGTAAAATTGGAGGGTTGCTATAGAATCCTATATTGCTGGAATGTATCTGTTTAGAGAAAAGTGTGGTTTAATCTACGCTTTGAAGAACAAAGCAGAACACAAAAAAAAAATTACATGGATTGTGCAAAGAGATTATAAAGGAGAAAATAGAACAAAACAAAGCAGGTCACATTTCGGACATAATACAACATTGCAAATTTCTGCTTATAGGCCCAAATGTTTTCTCTAAAATCAACAATTGTTTTTCTTGGGATTTCTGAGCAAATGAAGCCCAGCCTTTCATGGCTACTCCTCTGCTTTTCCAGTTAATAACTATTTAAAGTGAAAGTTTGTGATACAACAGAAACGTGCAGTTTGAAACTACACATTAAATGTTTTCATCTCACAAATGTTGACACACAGAATCATAGAATCATTAAGGCTGGAGGGGACTGGCTGAGTCCCTTCACAGAAAAAGGTCTCCTAAAAGCAATACAACTACAAGGAAAGTTAAATAAAGCATGGCTATAAGCAATTGCAAACTCTAACTAAAATTCTAGCTAAATTAACTCRTTTATACCTGTGGGAAAATTGCAGCATAATATCACCAAGAGCACTGCACAAACAAATACACTGACATTCATAACAACTGATGCGTTAACCAGAATTTGAATAGAATCATTTAAGCATTAATAACATTTCCATCTCCAGAGGTCAAGCCTTTTCACTCCCATGCACTTTGACATCCACCAGTAACCAAATGTATTTCTAATAGAGAGCTAACTAAAGCCAACACACCAAGCATATGCTTACACAAGTGTAAATGGAAGATGGATATAAAATTTACTCTGCAGTACTGCAAGAGTCTAGCCTATGTGGGAGAACCTTAACATTTACCAAGACAATAAATACATATTCTTCACTGTTACAAACATAAAATGCAATACTGGGTAAGCCCAACAAGTCTTCTAGGCCAATCTGCTATCTCCTTCTGAGCTATCAGTTAGGTTTATGAGGAAAGCAGAGAGCATCTCTAGATGAATATCACAACCCTAGGAGATCTCCTGTGCAGTCGCCAAGCAATTACTTGTTAACTTGTGCTCAGAATCATGTCTACTTTACTTTTACATATATATCAAAGAAAACAAGGTAAACTAACAAGGTCAGGGAAGATACTATGCTTACTTACTCCTGGCTGACAGATGTGCAGAGATTCTCAGAAGTGTCAGACCACACCTGTAGCTTTAAAGAAATTAACATAGAAATTAGCAGCAATTCTATACAGCAATTAAGGAGAACAGGYGAGTGATGTGTGCACATCCTGCTATGGCTGTTGACTTTCTTATAATGTTGTACAGGAGAGCCGTAAGTGCACARCTGTGGAAATCAGTGGAGGATAGTTCAGAATAAAACATTTATTGTGGTAAACATGGCAGAGGTTGGTTTGAAAATAAACCTGTTTCAACACATATAGGAGAAATCCACTGAAACGCATATAGAAGACTATGAAAAATAGTGCTTTTTTTAAATGAAAAAAGCCAGGAAAAAAAACCCCACAGATGTCTTCATCTGCTTCAGTAGAAGAAACACTTGACATTATAAAAAGAGGTAAAAGAGAAACACAGGGACCAATTACTTTATGAAAGATAAGCAGGGTACTTTGAAGAAAGGCTCAGAGCACAGAAGCATCTAATTTCCTTATCTTTCAGAAGGCCATGGGGAAAAAAGAAAAGCCTAGCATGACCTAATTCCATGTTTCAAGAATAATTTCTCCCCTTTTTTCATTGATAGAAGAGTGTCTACTCACTGYAAAGTGTAACATTTAAAGAGGACTGTATCTCACAAAGAATTCTGGAAAACACACCATTCCTGTGATTCAGTATAGCACACTGAGCTATATTGAGTCACAGAATTCTTCATATATTCAGCTGYTGGTTCATGGCAAGCGGAAAATCTTCTCTAGGTAATAGCAACATAGTCCATCCAGAGTTATTTTTCAGCCAGGTTGGTCACCCATTACAGTTCACCACAGTCTCACCGGCGGCTGCATCAGCATAAGGAGGGAGTGGGTGACAAAGGGGAGAGCAGGATCACTTCTTTCAAAAGAAGTTTGAATTACAGTCTCAAGATAGATAATGAAGTTCACCTACCTTCTCCATTCCAGTATTTCAGGTATTTCACTTTTGGGGTCTAGGAAGCAGCAATTGCTTTGAGTCAGACAAAAAGACCACCCCACACTGCATCCTCTCTAGGATACCAGACTATAGCCAGAGCTATAAGATAAGGAGCATAATAAACATGGCAAGTTTAAATGACCCTCACCCATCAGCTTAAAATAACCTGCAGTTTAGAAATCTTCACAAAGGGGTCACTGAAGCTGTGAAAGAATCCTAACAGAAGCATTGGTCCTACACGTATCTACTACTGGGAAGCAAGTTTTAACTTAATAAAAGTAATACATATATATCTGTATACTATATATATATATATGATCAGAGAATGGCATCATCATTTCACATAATTGTACAGTAAATACTCAAGTTCACAAATACATGCACGTGCTATCATGTGCATAGATATATCTGACTGGTTGGTAGTAAACTGACCACAAAACAAAACAAAACAAAACAAAAACAAACAAAAAAAAACCTCACCACCCTGAGAGGAGGAGAAAGGGGAAAAAAAGAAAATCACAGTAAATCCCCAGAAGTAGTGAAGAAACCAAGTTGCAAAGCTGCACAAGCTGCAGAGATTTGGCTCTTCTCCCAGAAAGACTCATCACCCACTCTACATAGGCAGACTGACAGCACTGCAATATGCTTTTCTTGGAACAAACTCTCCTGACAGCTTGCAGAATTAAAGAGAAATTCCCTACTGGGTGAATAAGTGAATGTTTGGACAATTTGATATAGGAAACATTATATAGTCCGTGCTGTAGCAGTCAGCAGGAAAGTCTGATGCAAGGCCGGTTCCCGGTTTCAAGCGTGCCATGTAATAATTTCAAGTAACAGAATAAAGTAGCAGCTCTGAGAGGGAACCACCATGCCAAACAGAGGGCATGACACACAAGTGTCAGAGCCCCAGCGTGCAAGCTGCTTTTTGTCAAGCAACAGAAAACGTAAGAATAGAGCACTGTGACTCCTCCCACGTATTTGTGCCAGAATTGCTGTTCATACATGGGACAGATCTCAAGCCGGACCAGGAGTCCACTCTACAACGCGCTCTGCACACACCACCACCCTTTGCCTTCACAGAATTCACCTTTTACAGCTTACCTGGGAAAACAGCCACACGTGGTTGTTCTGCAGGGCAGATCCTGAGTTCCGAGGAGAAAGCTGCACAAGGGAAGTCTTGGGTTTACCTCTGCTGCAGAAGTCCTAGACTTTTATCCAAATCCTCCACGGGTCCTAATCCAACCAACCATAACACTGCCTACTATTGTTAATAAACAGAGCAATTTCATTTGTAGTGCCAGGTAATATTCAGTCACCATCCAAACAGGAAACAAAACCAGTATTTTATTTTGAAGGARCATTTTATTTCGTTAGCTTTGTATACTGAGTTTCAGCCTAGTTAACACAAACTGCACTGCATGTAGTTATAGGGACACGAATGCTTGCATAACATGTCTTTTGTAATGTCACTGGCTGTAGAAAGCAGTACGTAAACCTTTCAAAACACCAAACTCATGAAGTAGTATTTGCACAAGAACATTGCATTATTATAGCAAAAAACATGTGTAAACCTCTTCAGCATTACTTGTAAGTACAGCGTTTATCTTGAAACGTTAGGCCACATCCCTGCAAGCTGATACTACAGAAGAGCTCTGAATAAGGGCTTACGGCGCTGGTCAACCRAGGCCCTGTTATAAAATCCCCAGATGCCTTCTACCAAATTTGAGCTCTGCCTTTAAGCCAAGTGCTAGCTCCACTTTTGACCAACATAACCCAAGTACCTGTATGCAGGTGGTACCAAAAGAGGAATTTGGCCTAGCCACAGCTTATCGTTCAGCCTCGTACAGCACGTGCTGTTCTCTGCCCATTCCCAATGACCAAAGCTTCTAACAYGGTCCAAAGTCACCACTGTTTTTGCTCACCTGGTATAATGCCATAGATCAGTTTTTCTCTAGGAAACGCTTGCGACTTCTGAAGTCAGAGACTAGATAGRTTCTCAGAGTACCGAGACATCTACCTTCCAATTAGAAATTAAAAGTTTAAATCCAAAACCTTATGCTAGCACTTTAAATAGGTAGATAKTAGATAAATTAGAGCACATTTCATAGGTTAAGCTTCAGCTTTTGGGACTGCAGCTGCATTCCACATTGAGCCTGATTACCCACAATGCTGAAATTTCACCCTTCACAGCTTSTTGTTTCACGGCCTCTTCCTCAAGTATCTTCTAGGGAGATTTTCTTCCAAATCATGGGTTAAAATTAGTCCAGTCATGGCACGGTAAAAAACTTACTGAAACTATATCCTAGTAGGTTTTTTGTTGTTGTAAGTTAATTTTTATTTTCAATAACTTAATTGAGCTTCTATATTTGATATACCTGAGAACATACATTATATATGCATTTAAACATGCCCCTTAGAAGTTTGTCTTTTAGAACAGGGTTTTGGATATCATTTATCTCAGTCTCATAATGTTTTAAGAGGGGCACCACACCTGTTTTATATTACTTGGGGAAGCAAAAAGTGAGTCAAGTCCATTTCCCCCTACAGCCACATTGGTTTCCTATTCTTCCACCCTCCTGCCTATAGGACAGCAGCAAAGTGTGCAATATATCTCCTTGCATTGATTCATCCTCCCCCATGAAAGTAATAACAGCTTTGGAGCTTTGTGGACTGTCACATCCTGACCATTTGCGATGGGTTTGATACACTCACTCACTGGTATCTATTCTGGGCTTCCCATTACAGTCAAATTTCTGGCATTGTTTAAATAACCTAAGCTACTAATTTTGAAAGTAGGAGAAGGAAGAGAGAAGTATGAAGTATTTCATGAACTTCATAAACAGCAAAAGCAAACAGGTCACAATCTTGACCAACCCAGTCTACAATCCTCCTCAAAATAAAGCCAGCTGAATGCACAAATACTCGACGAATRCCAGAACTCCACTGCAAGGCAGGTTTATTCTTTCTGCAGGAGGGTCTCACTGTACTGCTTACAACTTGTGTCCATGCACAACAAGGGTCCCAGACATATCTATTCCACAGACATGAACAGTTTCATGTACTTAAAAGGAGGAGGAGGGAGAGAGGGAAGGAGAGGCAGAGGGCGGCACAGAAGGTTTTCTTCCATACAGTGTGCTTTCCCACCGGGCAATTATTTATAAGAACTTTTGTTAACACTGCTGTTTGGCTCCGGGAACAATGTGGTTACATTGTTTACCAGCTTTGCCAGTCAATCTCCTCTTACAAAACTTCTTCTCCCTTCCCCCATCTTTTCTCAGCCAGGCCAGTCCGTGAACAGCTCAGGAGTTCCCTTTCTCACCAAGGTCTCCTTTTCCACAGATAGTCCCTTGGATTATGCTGTCCTCGATGTAGTGCCCCGTGGCATCCGTGCTCCTGCACAGCACTGTGGAAGGGATCCGCGAGGAGCGTCTCTCCTGGCTCCTGTCATCGGAAGAGCAACAAATCATCCTCCTCATGGTGCCCCACATCTCATCATCTTTGTATGAATAAATTATTGGATTCATGACAGAGTTCAGCAAGGCGAGAAGGAGGAACCACCGCTTAACGTGCTGAATCCCACAGTGGGTGCAGTTCAGACCATCGAGCAGTAAAACCACCAGGCCAGGGGTCCAGCAGACCACAAAGGCACCTGAAAAGGAAGGAGGAAAATAAAGAGACTTCAGACTGCAGGGGGATTTCTGTTTGTCTGTCAGGAATATTGGGTTCACCGGGAATATGGAAAAATCATAAAAGCAGGAGAGGACAAAATRCTAATCACAGTAGTCAAGTCAAGTCTATTAGCAGCTTCTCTGTCCATGTAGCAGACCAGCTTTCAGAAATCCATGGTGAGCAAAAAATCAGCTGCCAACAGCTCAAATGGAAATGGGACAAGGTCATCACAAAAGCAATTTGACCACTGAAACAAACAAGAACAGAAAATTCCTCTCCTTCACCTCTCTTTCCTGTGCTGGAGGGGAAGGTGTCTGGTCTCCACCACTGCCACAGTGACGAAGAAAACCAAAGAAAGGACAAGTCTTCTGTGACACCAGAGCTGGCACTCTGCAAAGCCATGGGCATACTGCTAAATTCATAAATTTGAGTCACAATTAAATACATCCTGGTTGAAAGCAGCTAATGTGGTGCACGCAGCTYGGGCCCTGCCTGGCTCTCCAGGCCAGACTCCAGAGTACGCTCCAGAGCCAGGTCCTCTGGGCACTTGAGACCCAACAAATTGGGCCACCGGTGTTAGAAAAGTCGCCTGGCTCCAGCAGCAGTTGGGGAGGTGGCAACTCACTAGCTAAGCAATGGAAATATCTCCAAATCTGAGATTTTGAAAGTGATTTGAAAGAAATTAAGATGTAAGAGAAAAGAGATAAATAGGTGAATTAGTGATGATGAGTTGAGGAGGAAGGAGTTGAGGAGATGAGTTGAGGAGTCAGGAAAAAGAAAGGGAACCTCCTGGCTGAAGGCAACCCTGGCCACGAGCTTGGGAGGAGCCCCTGCCCAGCCCCATCTGCCCGGCTGTCATTCCTCGCCTTTAAGCCTAAGGAAAAAGTAGCCATATGCATGATAATGCTAACTTAGCACAAGCCACAATTGCTGTCTGACCTACAGAAATAGAAAATTACAACTCTGCACAACAGTCACGTTGTGAATGACATGTGGAGGAAATTCCAATCACTTACAAAGGCACAGTTCCCCTTCTCAGGCTTAGGGGGGAAAAAAAAAAAAAAAAAATCAAACAAATGGGGATGGTAGCAGCTATGTACTGAGAACATTTTCCTGAAGGGCTTGGCATCCCTCCCAACGTCTTGATAGGGAAAGTTCTGCTCCCTTTCCCAAGGGCACTGGTTTTCCAGCACAGCCCAGCTCCGTCGGGAAGCAGCTCCTCACACCTGCTGTGATGACCCAYGCCGCGCACAAGGACGCTTCCCTGCTCCAAGGGCTCTAGTGGAAATGCTGACTGCTCAGGCCACACGATGAGCGGGCCGTAGCAGGGTATAAAAGTGAACTCAAGTGACATAGCGAGCATTATGATTGCTGGTGAAAAAAATAATAGTAAAGAAAACATATCCAAGGCAAAGTACCACGGATCTCAGTGCAAAACGACGCTCCTGAGTTATCCCTCTGTTATAAAGAGCAAGAAGACTGAGTTCAACTAATAGATTTACTGTCTTCCAGGAAACACTGCACAGAATGGAAACGTAAGAGACCATCTCCTTCAGCGGCTGCATTTTCTATCCTGCTGTACCAAGATTCTCATGGCTGTCGGTACCAGTTTCRTGGTGTTAGTTCTGAATCAAGGTCCAGCATCAGGAGCAACTCTCCTGCAAGCCGCTGGCACRAGGGGCTCGGGGGCTGCCACAGCGGGTGCCCAGGACATCCACTTTCTGTGGGCAGTCTCTGGAGCTCCCGTGCCTTTGGCTGCAACGTGCTGCATAAGCCCTTGTGACACCAGCTCTTTCCTGAAGACCTCAGTGCAGAAAAACTGCTCAAATTTATTGCACCAGGATGCAAACCCCATCCACCAGAAAAGTCCCTGGAACACGGCCTATTACACACCAAGGCTGTGTCTACATGAATGTCATGCTAAATACTCAGAGTGCTCTCGCTTGGCACCAAGGGACGCTGGCGAAGCAGCCAACACGCCAGCTCCTCCTGAAAATTGATTCAGCCCATCAATCCRCCCRCACAGAAAGCACTTCGAYCACTTGAGTTTCTTTAATCTCATAAGCAAGGCATATAAAGTGATTTCATGGAAGTTAACAGCAGACGAAGAAGCCCCAAGTCTGCATTTAACAAAAAACAAACAAACAGCTTAAAACACAACCCCAAGCTCGATGACTGTGGTAGCCTTATCTGCTTGCAGAGACAAAGCAAAAAGGTTTCAACAGCAAAAGTAGGAGCTAAGTGACATGTGCAGCCACCTCKGGTACCACAGAAGTACCAGAGCTTTAAAGCTTTAAACCAAAGCTTTAACTTTCTCTTTGGGGCGGCTGCATCTGCCCACGGCTGAAGACAACCGCAGCTGCACATCTGTCGACAGTTCAAAGGCTGTGCTTTTACTTTGACTCCATCAAAAATACATTTAATTGTGTATGGATACAAGGCAAGTGATTCACACCCTACTCTTAACATGGCACAGATGAAAGAAGTATGTCTCAAACTTGTTGCCTTTCTAGGATTTTACTATTTTTACCACAGAATTTCCAGAGGGAACCATAGTTAAACAAATAGAAGCCTTTGCCTTGGCCCTGCAGTGATTTTCATGTCTGCAAGAGCTCCCTGTGAGAGCTCCTTCTCCCTGACAAAGTGCAATTTTTCAAAGAACTTCATCTTAAAGGAATTTTACAGAATTTCTGCAAGTGATTGATCTACAGCTTGGCTGCAATATGAGCCAAAGAACCAATCTGATTTTGCACACCACATTATAGGAGATCAGGAACTATAATGCCTTAAGATCAGTTTCAAGTATTTCTACCAAATTTAAAGATGAATCTTCTTGTAAACTGAATCAATTTCTCTTGAAAATGAATTCCAGCGTATCTGGGARCGGTGCTGATACTTTAACAAACATCACACTGTAAAGCTCTCCACATAATCAAAGCTCCCTCTSAAGAGGCCAACGTTGAGAACAAGAACAAAAAAAGTAGCTTCCACTTGCCTTTGCCACATATGTCCCTGAATCAAAATAGCAAGTTACCAATTAAGCTATAAATTCACAAAAACTGAAAATCATCCACCTCAAAGCTGCTATTTCAACAAGAATCTGACTGCCAAGTTCAGAGGAGCTACCACATGCAGTCCACCTGAAGTCACACACTTGCAAACCTGCTGCCAACCGTGCTTCCTCAAAGCTAGTTATGTGCTTAGCTAGGACTGCGCCACGAGATAATCCCATGGGAGTTACTGTCCTTTTCCTACGCTTCCCATCTTCCCATTTCAACCAGATGAATTCCTATAGTTCAACATGCCATAGGGAAAGGTTGTGTCAAACTGTTGCTCTCCTGCAGTGGTTCTGTTTAGGGATTATGGTAGGAAGAGGGAGAAGACGGGCCAGTTGTAGCTTCTATTTTCTTCCAGGTTTTACCTCTTGCAAAGGCCCCTGGAGGTCCCTCATAGGAGGCTTTGCAGATCCTTCAGAACACCTTTATTCTTCCCTTAGGGGAGGTTTTCTTGCAGACTGGTCCATGGCCATCACCTGCTGTAAAGTTCTTTCCCCTCCCAGTGATGTGTGCCAGCAAACTTCCACCGTGCCGGTTTCTTCTCCRGTGAAAAAGGTGGTGGAAAACACGCAAGGGACAGTCACATGGAAACCCCCCTTCCTCCAGCTCTAACCGGAGCAGGGCAGAACTCCACCCCGAGGGGACAGCGACGTGTCACGGGAACAGCCACAGGCCAAGCCACGACGGGAGGCGGAAGGAGAAGGGAAGAACAGCTTGACCACAGCACATAAACTGCACAGCTACGGGCCAGAGGCATCAGCATCAGCAGCGTTTTGTCCTGCACCTCCTATGATACCAATACCTGCAGCATCCTTGAAACTGATTCTGAGATGCTTCATTCAGGAACACAGCTTTCTGGAATCACTTTTGGTAAAGATCATAGGAGGCAATTATTCCAAATGGTCTTCAGAGGTTTAAAAACAAACCATTACTGTGCTGAAAAAAAGCAACAAAAAAACCCTATAAAACAAATTTGCATGCTCCAGATAGCTATAGGCTGTTCCATCAGTGAATGTAAAGAATTTTTAAAAATATTAGTTGGGTCACTTAGAAATTCCTTTGTTAATTAAAAAGTCTGGAAAAGATGGCTATTAATCAAGTTTCTCATACTTTTTTTGCATAATACAAACAGCTTAACTAAGAATGCACATTTCAAACTTTTCTAAGAAATAAATTTTCATTTCTAAAATAAACATTTATAAGAAGTATGTTCAAGTCAAAATGTGGGCAAGTGGTATGAGGGAACATGCCAGGATGCAATTCCCCTGACAGGAGGCTGGGCAGCCCTTGCCCCCAGCGACACAGGCACTAACGTGCCTTCCAGGGAAGCAGGACCTGGTGTGGCTTGGCTTCTGACTGGCAAAGTCTGTACAAAGCAAATACCATCTCTAAAGTGATATTCAGATTTCCTAAAGTAAATTAGCCTGGTCCAGCACACAACATCAAACGCTTTTTCCTGAGTTACATTTTAAAATGGTGGCTAAAAAGGCATGTTCTGCAAGTAAGAAAAAGCTAACACTGATATTTAAAAAATAACTCACAATTCCCATGCTTTAAGAACAGTCGCTTTGCTCGCTAGAAGAAAAAAGATTTTGAAAGGAAGGACATTAAGTGGGGTTTACTTCTGTGTATGTGTGTGTGAGGGGGTGTTTGTGTTCTTTTGTAATGTCTAAGGGGGAAAAAAAATAATAAAAAAAGACAGATGCATCCTGCTCCAAGAAACAAGTGTAAATAATTATTCTTGGAAGGATTTGTTCTGGGGCCTCAGACTTAATCCTACAGATGCTCATAGCACATCCCAATCCCCCTGTTTACACTGGCTCGGTCATATAGTCATTAACACATGCACAGCCCCTTGGTGCATCTGGACGTCGTGCATCTCAGTTCTCTATGGACCGAGGTAAAACAGGAGCTGGGTTAAGTGAAGTGACTTGCACAGAGGTCCTACAAGTTGAATGCCCAACTCCTGAGCCTCCATCCTCCTCGACGCCTCTCTAAGGAAGATCCCCAGCCAGCTGCAGGTCAGTATGGCCATGGTGAGCGCTGACAAATATTTAGCCCAGGCTGGGATGGGAGTAGGAGGGGAAGGATGAGGAAAGGGGAAGGTCAGTGGCGGARCCTGCAGCTCCCGTATCAGCCAGCTGGGACTGGACTCTCCAGCCCAGAGCACCTCTCTGCTCTGACCCGCAGCAACGCGTGGGTGGCACCAAGAGCTGAGGGGGTCTGTGCAAGACTGACCATGTTCTGACTGTAATCTACACACCGCTAAAGGAACATAAGTATTTATRGACATGAGTAATATACACACGCATCTATATAAATATATACACATACATCATTAAGACAAAGCTCTACATTATGATTTATTTGCATGTGCCYTCTCAGAAAATGAGATTAAGAGATTAAATCTGTTCTTTTCAATTCTACCTCTGTTTTAGAAGTTAAATGAGGTCTGATTTCTGGTTCAAGATTAAGCAAACATAAACATGCGCTAAAGACCACATGGATCAGACTGACTGAAAAAAAACATTAAAAAAAAATGCCTTTTCCATTTGTCTTAGAGGCTTCTTGTCCMTCTATCCACCACCTCTAAAATTAGTGACCAATTCATTGCAGACTGGATTTTTTTTTAAACACAAAAAAATGGCGTTTTTTTAAAATAATAGTTTTTCTTCAGCTGAATAAAGAAAAACAACTTCATAGACACTAAAAAGCAGCCCTGAGCCTGACCTGCAGATCTGGCTCTTGCTCAGTCRAGTTATCAGCTTCTGTGCCTGACAAGACTGAAGCTTTGTCCCTGTGCCATTTACAGCACGCAGCAGCTCTCCGAGGGACTTTCTTCCCTTTCTCCCAGACCTCAAACAAACCGTTASCATTTCATTAGGAAGACAAGAGCAATGCTGCCATTACAGTCACTTCATTATTAGCATCAATTAGTAATAAAAGGAGGGTTAGAAGCACTGCACCCCAGAGATAAAGTCCCAGACCTATCACTGGAAGGCCAGTTTAATTCCACTTACATCCAAATCACCACATTTACAAACATTATCAAGCCTCCTGAYGTGGGACAGTGAGAAAGGCCAGAGATCAGCAGGGAGGAATGGAAACAAAGACACTTGACTGTGCTAGAGGCAAACGCTCAGTCTCAACTTCTTGTCCTGGCAACTAACACCTGCAGAAAAAATGTGACACTTTCCTCCCAGAACTCTTCCTTCCCTTACAGCTCCCAGAGGTACTCCATTAAACACCAGCCACRAGAAACAGTGACTATAAGGGCAAGGATTAGTTGGAGCATAAAAAAAACTGCAACTAAAGCACCAGCTAAAGCACCAGCTGCTAGAGCAGGTCGGTCAGGGCAATAGGATCTTAGTATTTTGAAAAAAACTTTGAGGAAAAAAAAGGATGTGAAACTTTCAGCATCAGGAACAGCTTCATTCTCATCCCTGGAGGAGTCTGGTTAAACAAGACATAGGTCAGCTTTCCACATCATGCACCCTGCACCCACCTCCCAAGAGGATCTCCACACGCACCCTTCTCGAGAACATCCCCCATGTGCTGGCCCGTACACTGTGGGTGCAGTTCTGATCTCAGCATGGGAAGGTTCACCCTTTGAATGCCCAGAAGGACTTTCCCACCATCTGAACCCTGCTTTGCCAATGTCTCGGTTAGACCTGCAGCAAGCTGAACTAGCCATGTTGGGGTGAAGCCCATCTTCCAGAAAACATCTTGCTTGCTCAGTTTCAATTTCTCCTGAGGAAGAATTCACACCATTATGTCTTTTTTTAACCCCCTCATAGTGATCATCATCCACTCTATGCACCTTCTTCATGTTGAAGTTCAAGTTCCTCCTGTTTAAAGCTTGAAACATCTACTTATCTTACATTAATAAGCAGCCACATCACAACTAGTCAATACAGTGAATGGAGTTGCTCAAGTATCAAGAGTGCATGCATGTCAGGTCTCATTTCATCACCTGGAGATCCAAGGCCATGCTCCACCACRATCTGAGAGCACCTGGCACTGTGCAATCTTCACAAAATCAAGGTGAATTCTGCCCTTGCAAAGCAAACCTCTGTCAGAAACAAAGTCACAGTTGCCAGCAGAAGTGTGTTTGTAGAGGGAGAAGTTAGCATATATAGGAAGATCTAAAAAGCGGAGTGAAACCTATCCATGGGCAGCCAGGATCTTGCGCAGATATGAAAGCATGTTAATTTGAACGTGTCCTGCTAAGCCGTTATGAGTTTTTACAAGCYTTTTTCCTCAAAACACATTCTGTAATTCTCCCCCACACCCCCAAATAAACTATAGATAATTTGTGTTTTGTAACAAGCATCCTACAAATAAGCAGTCTGAGCACTGCTGAGTGGAGAGACCTTTCTTCAACATGTCCAACAGTCCTTTACTTTGCATTTCGTTGGGGCCACACCAGACAGAAAACTAARCAGCTCCAGCATTAAGCAGTCTAGGGTTGCCTGGTTGTTTTTTGTTTTGTTTTTTTTAAGCACTGACTGGCACTGCCAGCCTTGCACAGCATAGTCCACAGTCTCTTACCTAAGAGGGTCATGACTGTCTTCATAAGCTTCACTGGGGTCCTCCTACGGCTAATGGATCCGCTAGTGTGCGACGACAAGACATTTGTTTTCCTCTGGACGTACATGTAGATTCTTATGTAAACCACCACCATAATGAAGAAAACTACGAGGTTTAAGACACTCCAGAACACCAAGTAACTTCTGCTGTAAATAGGGGCCAGGGATGAGCAGGCTGTAATGTCACAGAGGCAGTTCCAACCCAGGGTAGGAACAGCACCCATAAAAATAGCAATGGACCAAATTGATATAATTAAAAAGGTGACTCTCTTCTTTGTGAGGTTACTGTGGATCTTCATCCGCATTATTGACATGTGCCGCTCAACAGCTATGACGAGGAGGTTCACCAGAGAAGCTGTCAGGCTGGTATCCAGAAGACCCTGACGCAAAAACCAGCGGTTAACAGTTAATGTCTTAGACACTGGGCCAGTGTTGAACATTAAGAAAACATAGGCAATGCCAGCAAAAAAGTCTGCAGCAGCTAAATTGGCCAAGAGATAGTAAAAAGGAAAATGAAACCTCTTGTTCTTTACCACAGCTGCTATGACCAATGAATTTGAAACAAAAATGAAGAGGCAGAAAAACGTCCCAAAACACAGAACAACAATAAGCTTTGGCCCTGTCCACTCATCTACTGTGTCAGTGTTTGTCTTGTTATAGAAAAAGTCCATGCGTCTATCATAGTAGCATTCGTTCATCCTGGATTAAAGCCCCTGAGTCCTAGCAAGGGGCAAAGAAGAAAGAAGAAAAAAAAGAGGATTAAAATTAACTAATGGTCCTTGCCCAAATCACTCCAACTAGCATTTTTGGGGAGGCAGGGAGTAAGGGTGGGGGTATGAGGAAAAAGCCACACTGTGCAGAGTTAATACAGAAGGAAATATTCTGTCTCTGCAAGGACAAAGCCTTGATGACTTCGGAATTTTCAGGAGACTTAAACCCCCCAAACCCTTTGCAGCAGCATCTGTATCATACAGGCATCAAAGCTGAAACTAAGAGGTTAAGAGCAGCTTTCTGGAGATCACAAGGAAAGTCTGAATAACAGCCTGGTCCTTCTTACTCTGAAATCCCATGTTTGAGCCACAGCTCCATTATTTTTTCCATTTCCCCATATAGCCTGTCAAGACAGAGAATCATAAATCACAACTCTTCCATTTTTTTACTGACTAAGCAATAGTATTTTTTCATTAATATGCTCTTTTAAAGTTGTATATTAATGAATGGAATAATTCATGTATGTGTAATGCCCAGGGCAAACATATTCTAAACACATGCTTGTTATGTACTGCTACAGAATTTAAGAGTGCTAAATAGGGTAAAAAGAAAATATGTTCTACATATTTGACTACACTAAACCCACAAATGATTTTATTGCACTGTCAGCCCAGAGGCCTGTGAGCAACATAGAAAAATTATCTTCAAAAACCAAAATGCAGTTCCTACCTAACCACAGAGCAAAGCCCCAGCAACAGCAGTAGCGTGGGGTACACAGCACTATTTTGGACAGATCGCTATGAAACASGATGGAAGGGGAAGTCTGTTTTCCCAATTACATCACACTTCAACTTCTCTAGTGAAATCAGTGTCAGCTGCCCTGGCCATGTTACATTTTGCGTTTATTAGGAACCAAAAGTAGTTCCAATTTACAGTGGCAGCTCTGAGTAATTATTCGTGCAGGGTCTCACAGTCTGGTAGTGAGTTTGTGACTAATCTTAATTAACCCCGTAATTCTCTGTCAGTATTTGAATAAATGTGCTTCAACATCAGCCTCTCAGATGTGAATAACATTATTAATAGCTACTGTAAAATTATAACAAAACCAAGGAATCCAATTTTGGCATGAGATCTCACTCATTTTAGATACTGGAGAACTGCAMACTTGGAGGACAGGCAGCAATGCTAATAAAAACTTGAGCAAACCTCCTTGTAAGTCTCAGTGTGCTACAAGYGTCAGAGCGGTAGACTAAGGAAGGCTGAGAAGAGATACGGAAAAAAAATCAATTTATCTACAGATAGAATTGATTACTACCTAGGCTAACAGATAGCTCTACTTTCTCTGGGGACTGGGAAACAAATTAAGCACAGCCCTCGCAGCCCTAGCCCTGATTAACAATCCACATTTATTAACATTCAGAGAGAATCTTTTATATAAAAGATTTATCTTATATTAATGTTCTAAAAATATTTTGCCATGCAATATTTGCATTATCTGATCTTAATTAACTTGCATCATTCCATTATTAGTATTTTCAGTGAACTGGAAGATAAAAATATGCAAATACTTTGCTTTTTCCTGAAATAGTTCCTTGCCATTTCTCAGTTTCTACCCTACATCCAGTAGCCAATATGAAGGCCAGGCACATGATATCGTCATCCATCTCCCTACTCTCAGGCTTCTAGGCAACTATTTATTTTATAAAAKAATACCTTTTTTTTTAAAGCATCAAATTTGAGTATGTAGTCAAAAGAATAATTCCTTAAGGATAAGGAAGGAAACAAGTAAATTATCCCTTACACCAAAATAATACAGAGCATCCCTTCATCTAAAAATAAAAACCCCAGCAACTCAGGTCTACGGTAAGGAATCAGCTCAAATTTGATGCTTATTTTTCCCCCTTTGGGGCAAAATACTAGAGTTGAGCACCAGCAAATTTCCTATCCTTACCTCGGGAATACTCAAAAAGAGTAAGATGCTGTTAGATCTAACGACTAGAATTCCCTAAGAAGCTGCAGACACCAGTTACTCACGGACAGGCAAGCGCTGGGAACGCTGCCCAAGCGAGAYGGCTCTGACCTCCCTGCCTTGATGGGTAAAGACTTGCTGAGCTTGACAGGAAACTTTTACTGAACAACCCAAAGGCCTGCATATAGAAGCAACATTTTGGGCACAAACAGCAGAAAACTCTGAAAATTATAGGGCAGGTTTTCTGAACATGCTGCATGTTACTACATAATCATCTCAGGAAATGAATCTCTCCCGCTAGTTCTAACAGGAGAGTCAGATAGAACTGCAGACACTTTACACATCTTATCTGAGAAGAAACTTTAAAAAAATCCCAAACAAATAGAAACTTTTTAAAAAACTCCCCTGCTTACTATTTCAAATGAGAATAATATCTCAGTATGTACAAAGAAGTCACACATGGGTAAACCTCCACCAAAACCACAGTACAAACACTCACTGTCACACAGCAGAGCTCAAAAAAATAACGCTCAAGAGTGGACTTTGAATGAGGTGCCTTGAGATGTTGAAATAAGGCAGGGGGGAGTAGCAAAGCATCCAGCTGCAGTCCCAAGGTCATGGAGCAGTCTCTGGAGATGTTACATCAGATGAGAGGTGGAGGTTGCATCAGAACAGTAACTGAACGGGACCCGGGTTTGCATCCTAGTACTCCAGAGCACAGATGTAGCTGGCACTTGGTCACCTACACTGACCTATGAAGAAAAGGCACTTGACCCTCCCTGGTCCTTCCAGGAAGTGGTTTAGTTCATGATTTCTTTTTATTTTATGTCCTCCCAGCTGAATTAGCCTGGGTTCAGGAGAGCTGCACAGCTGCGACAGACCTAATCAGCTGTATCCTCAGCAGCCTTGCCCCAGTCCACATCATGCAGAGGAGATGGGCGACAGGATATCCCATGTTTTGTAGCACAGCACAATYTAACACGTTGCAGGAGTTTATTTTCCAGGTCTTTTCTTCAACAGCCAAATTGAAGATGCTTATCTGAATCGAGGAAGATTTAAGCTTAAAAAAATAAGAAAAGAAAAAAAATCAAATTCTATTTCAAATATTTATTGAATATTTCTAAACAAAGTCAAAAAACCAGACACAATATTGTTTGTCAACATTTTAAAAATAATAAATACTAAAAGCTATATTATTCAGATCAGTCCTAAAGCAGTAGTGTTTGTAARGGGCCAGAAACACATAGCTCAGGAACAAATGCAAAACCAGGAGACACTTTCTTCAGTATTCTCCTAGCCTGTATATCTCAGCCAATGCAGTTCCTGAGCCTGATGCTCACTCTGTATTTAGAAGTGAGAAGATTTCYATAATGCGTAAGTCTGGAGAAGTTTAATACATGCATTAAGCTTTCTTCCTAATTTAGCACATTTTGAATACTACAGTCTTAAAGACCAATTATATAGAGAAAATTAAAATCATTTTGAATATGTTACTTGCATCAAGTTGCACAATATACTTCTTTGTTCTCAAAAGTCAAGGATTTGCATGAATGTATAAAGTAGCATATTACACTAGCTACTTAAAGGATTACTAAAATAAACCACCTAGTTAGCCCAGTTAAAACAAAAGCTTCACCTATATGCCAGTAAACATGCTTAGTAGTTATTACCCAATTGAAGTCTAGTTTGCTCTAACAATGTGACTCAAAATATGCATATTTACAGTGAAATTTAATATTTTTATCAACGATTTCGCTGATCCAAATTGCGATTAAAATCAACTCTTTAATCACTGACTCAACTTTAATTCAGCCTATACACGCCTTCCAAGTACAGCCATTCATTATTAATGCAGGCAATTCTGAAGAAAACCTCAAACGATGTTTTGCAGCAAGACTTCAGATGAGAAGGTCATTTAAAGGATCCAGCCTGTGCACCACTGACGGATGCACGGCACACCTCAACGCTTTGCTGCCCATTTCCTGCCCATTAAATAATAATAATAATACATTTGCTGCTTTATTGAAAAGCTGGCATAGATTTTAAGAGGAGTGATGTGCCCTATGCTGCCCGRGCGCCCCAGGGAGGAGATGGGGAAGCGCTGGGCTGCAGGGAGAGGCGYGTGGCCGAGATGCCGGCGCTGACTTTGCGGCCCGGCAGCCGCCAGGCCCCGTGCAGCGGCCATCCCCAGAGCTGGGCAGGGACTGGGGCAGAAGTGAGGAGAGCTCCGGGTCTCGGAGTGCCGCCGTGGAGCAGGGCCGGGCGGGAAGTGGCCGCGGAGTAAGGCTGGGTGGGAAGCGCGGGGTTCGCCTGCGCGCGCTCACCGTGAGGCGGGCAGGCCGCCAGCCCCCGCCATAGCCCTTCAGCTCCCTGCCGCCGCCRCCTCTCCTTTCGCCAGGAAGGGAATGAGATACACACCTCTGTAAGGCGCCTTGAGACAAATAAATCAGGGCTCTTCAGAAATAAGTTTAAAACTAACTGCTTAGCTTATTGCACTGACTTGTCCCAGACACGGGTGGCAGAGCAAGAGGAGGCAAGTCACCTGAAATCACCAATCTGCGGCCTGTGTTCAAGGCATTACTCAGAAAATTACCTAGCAGCAGCAATACAAACAGCATGTTGGATAATTTWAAAAAGGCAAAGACATTCCTTGAAACAGCCCTGCTAATGGAGTGCCTGAATGCTTCCACACCATGTTCCCAGCAAGCCCCTGGCAAGGGGTCCCTGAAGAAGTGCCCTCACCGCCTGCAACCTGCTCCCCGGGAAGACAACTCTGTCTTCTTGTGGAACCTTTTTGCTCTGCATACAGGGCTTATTTTCCAAGCTACTGAGAAGCGCTCTCACACCTCGTTCCAAAGAGAGGAGCCTCGGGAGGTAGAGGAGAGGAGGGTGCCCCTCRGCCAAGCTCCATGTACAAGTAGTACCAGTTCCGAGCGGGAATTGGTGGCTTGTTCTCCTCCACGCCCTCAATAGGTGCAAGGCCATGGAAAAGAACACAGCCAAATGATTGCATAGTAACCCAAGAAATCCGTTCAGGTTACCTCAGCCTAGGGAAAAAAAAGAAATACCAATGCAGAAAAGGGAGTGTAACACAGCAGAAGCCAAAAACGTTAATATGTAACTGTTAGAAGGAATTTTATGGGTAAGCACTGTGGTTTATTTAATTGGCTTTAACAGTTAATCGATATTATACAAAAATCAGTTTAGAAAAATAAACTGAAAGGTAATTTCTCACCAAATCGCCATTCTAAGAATCAGATAAGTTGCTGAGGCATAAAGAACACAAAATTAACCCTGAATCTCAAAGTAAAAGAAAGCAACTTTTATCTGTGTGACATTGGGAGATGCCATACAAGCTGACAAGACATTTGTTGTGCAGGAGTTACAGAGAAAAATTATTGCAAAAGTAACAGTTCTGCATTTTCTTTACTAAGGAAATTCTGTGGGCACTGTCTGTGCTTGGAACAGCACAGTCCACTTTTCCAGAAATGCAGATTGAGAACAGATTGTACAAGAGAAAATAATAATAAAAAGGCAGCTTTATGATATTGTGTAATATAGAAAAATATATTGGAAAAAAAATCCTAGGATTAATAAGTAGCCTGCTAAGTACAGAAGATCTATTTATTATTAGGGAAACCCACTTCTGGTAAGGCTTTGCTTTTTTTTTTTTTTTCCCCCCTCCCCTTTCCTTGAATTTGAGCATTCCCAAATGGAGGGAATTGGTTGTGATCACAAATCAAGCAGGCATAAGCAGCGTCATTTCATTACCTGAGTCTTCAGCTCCCTTTAGCATAAGGGGAGCAGAGAGCTACATCCACTTCCACATAACGCTAACTTCATAGTAAGTACAGTCAAATTTCCACATCAGTTCTGATCATTTTCAGTAAAAGTCCATATTAACAGCATAAATTTGGACCAAAAAGGGAAATGGGGAGGGAAGTAAAGAAGATAAGGATGATTTTATAGGCAGGTCACATTTCTGAGTAGTATAAATCATTTCTCCTTGAATTAGCACCTGCGATATATATTACAGGTACAAACATCTCAGGATTTATTATTCATTATTAAATAAGAAATTAATTAAATCTAGCAAAGATTTAGAACCTCAAACCTCAATATTGAAATTGCCAAGACAGGAAATGGTGCTGCCAGCCACAGGCCACAACACTTGGTGCACCAAGGCGGGGAAGGGCCCTTCGGATCACTGCGGGATGCAGAAGTGTCACCCTGTGCACGTATGTGACACTGTGGTTCCTCTGTGAGTCACTGCAGAGTGGCACTGGCAGCTGGGCTGCAAGGCAGGGAAATGCAGGGACACCCAGGCTAAGTTATCACAAAGCTCAGGCTCTAAATTCCAAAGATCCCTTCAGTACAAAGCTACTCTATTGCCCCAAATTGCTGTTTAAAGCTCTCATCCCCTACAAAGTTGAACTTGTTACAGGCAGATGCTAAGCAACTCGCTAGTTACCACAAGTTTAGACTTCAGACTTTGATAATTTAAGACTTTCTGAAATTATGGTTTTTCTAAATCTATATATGGAGTCCAAAATAAAAACTTCACTGCAAAGCTTTCATTTACAGTCTCCTTAAGTGTGGTTCTGCAAGGAGCTGGCAGGTCATCCTATAATGCAGAAACAGACACGGTATTTAAAATATTTAGAAGCCATTCCCATAGCCTTTACACTGTAAAATATGCCTAGAAGAAAATACTTGTTCTGCTTCTGAATTGAATTTTCCCTTTTCTTCAAAACTTTCAAATCATGAATGATTAAAACATCCATTTTATAATTTCATTAATTAGCAGTTGGGTTTTTTTTTTTTTGTAAGTATATGGAAAGCAAAAGACTCAAGGCATTGACTAAATATATTTTTCTTTTTTTCCAGCACATAGCTTAAATCTACCTATTTATGTGATTTCTTAAAAACAACCAACAAAAAAAAAAAAAAAAAAAAAAAACTAGAGCCCCAGCTGCAAGCATACATTTCAGTGGCAGAAATGGTGGCCTCCAAAAAACATTTGCTAGACACTAGGAAGTGGAATTAATACCATATCAGCAGAAGGTTTCCCATCACAAGTCAGACCACGTATCTAGGAAATCACTTCTGTGAAACAAGGCTATTCTTTGGTGCCCAGCTTTATACTTAGAGACCTCGTTAGTGGATAGCAAAGGCAAAGACTCAGCCGGGGGTGCTCTGAAGTGGTTAACAGCCACAGCGGCACAGGAGGACACAGTCAGCCCAACTGGTCTGAAACCCAAGTCTGGCAACCAGGGTGGGCCGGAGGGAACCGGGGGGAACAACCTCCAAGTCCTAGGTGCTGGTAACGGCCTTTCCAAATGCAC